GAAAGGATGTTTTTTATGTTAATTTCAGTTGTGGTTTTTAATACTTTTGCTTGACTTTTTTATTTGTTGCTGCTGTTGTTTGATTTCTGAAATATGAAGATACTTTGTACATGCACACTTGTGTATTAAGTAATGTATAATTTGGTTGCAGGTGATTTTGCACCTTTGCCATACTAGAGTTTTCTGGGTACAAAAAGGTGTTGTCTCTATAATTTATAATCTTCTATAAGAAAATAATTTTGTTTTTTTTTTCTCTAGTCAATAATATCTACAAATCTGACATGTGTTAAAGTTATTTTGGCTTCATAACCAAAATAAATGGCAATACTGTGTTATACAGTTTTCAGGTAGAAATTACTTGTGGGATTTGAGCATTTTTGTGGCCATATGTAAAAATTTGCAAATAGAAACTAACTGATGGGACATTATTTAGGGACATGGATGTGAAATGATTTGTCAACATAAAAGTAACAAACAAAAATAAACTTGCTTATAATGCATAACACAGTTATGTTATGCACATACAGAATAAAGTCATAGTATTACAATTTTATTCCCATAACTTTATTTGTGAAATAATATGACTTTATTCTCATATTATTACAACTTTATTCTTGTGTTATTTCCACTTTATTCTCATAAGATTTTACTCTGATGATATGACTTTATTCTCATCTAAGTTTATTCTTGTAATGTTATTTTGTTTTATTTTATTTTTTTCTTAGTGAGGCCCTAATACTCCATTGCAGATTTAGAAAAACCTAGTTTTAAATGTTTTATTTTAGCAACATATTTCTTCAGACTGGAAGTGATATTTCCAGTTTAGTGTGAGGCAGTTAGTGTCCTGAATTGTGAAAGAGAATCTGTGGAGTGATTTAAATATTAGGGTGATGGCAAGGAGGCCTTCCAACGTCACGTGGGTGGACATCATCACCAGACATAAATTCTCAAAATACCAGTGAAAATTCTTGTTCTGCACTTAAAAAGAAGTAAAGATGCTTCATTGAGTACTGATAAAAGAATAAATAATTTTACATAGATGTCTATCCAAGTAGATTTTTTTTTTTTTTTTCAAAATTGGCACACCTTTGGATTGTTTTATTATCTTTTGAGAGTTGGCCGTCACATTTCTTATCAGAGACAGACATCTGTGTTGAACAACAATAATTTTGACACCTGCCAGTGGTATGAATCATTATGTGATTAACGTTGGAGCACGAAACGTCCTTGTTGAAAATTCCCACAGCCACAGCACTGCTGCTGACCTCTTGGCAGCCTCCCTGATTCGAGTCTATCTTGTCTTTTCAATGGTTTGGGTGAGCCGTTGTCCCTTCTGTCCCACAGCTTCCTCAGTTATTGATGGCAGTTTTCATTGTGCCAACGGTTTATAAATAATGTGACCCTTCTGCTGATAGACAACCCTTGCACAATTACACCCTTCTGATCCTTTGTTTTCTCTTTGCAAACTTTAGCAGAAGAATGCAGATGGACGAAAGTCAGGAAAGTCCAACTAGCATAATTAAGCTTCTTTTCAGGTTAATTAGATTGAATTAACTTAATGTTAGATGCGAGCTCAAAAAGACTAAAATGAATAGATTAGGTTATTTAGCAATCTATTTTTGTAAGTTTGAGCTGACCTAGTAAGATTTTGCACCTTTGTGTATTTTAAATATTAATATTAGAATATATAGGACTATATCAGAAGAAATCATCTATCATAGTCTTTTTTTAATCCTAAAAATGTTGTGTTTTCTGTACAGATTTCAGAGCTATAGATTCGACTCTTAATCAAACCAGAACTACTGAGCAACATCTTGCTCATAGTGATATTTAGTGGAGTAGCTTAATCACATTTACTCACAGCAGAAATAAGAAAATGTTAAGAAATTACTTTTAATTATCACTTGTCAAAGCAAGTAAGAAATGACTTGTTAAAAAAAAACATTGGATCTCAAAACTGTAATAAAAGTTTGAAAAGGTAGACGGACAAAAACACTGGCACATTGCTATTCCTACATTTTGTTTTATATAATTTTTGACCATATGTTTATGTTTTCTAAGTTCATTGTGCATTTTCCACAGTATTTATTCTGTTTTTGCTGTACCTTGTTTCTCTTTAAGAAAATAAATAGCAGCAACTTTGTAGTAAAACTTCTTCTGCTCTGATAAAATTAAGTTTGTTTTTGTTCAGCTAAGTCAGGACAAGGGTTAGGTCGGCCTAAATCATTATTTACCAAAAGCTTTTGTTTTTTAAATCAGTTTGACAAGAAAAAAATGACTTCGGCCTTTAGCTTAGGACAGCGATGATATTGCATGGTACATCTTCGTGCATCTCAATTTTCTCCTCACCTGTTGACTAAAAAAAATCCCTCTCTTTGCACGAATAGTACAGCAGCGCACATCCAACCCAGTTGGTTCTCTGTCATACATACACAAACACTCAAACCTGCCTATGTTACTCGAGCTGCAGAGCTGGGAACACACCCTCGGGGACAGGAATAACAGGCCACTCCAGAGTATGAGGACATCTGAGACACAGTGGCACCATACTAACATGATGGCTCTTTAACGTCTCCTTTATCTCCATCCTAAGGCTCGTCCGACTCCCCAGCAGCTACTGTTTACACCAACCACAAGTCAAGAGCGAAAGCAGAAAATGGACTTTCTTAATTCTGAGTGGCTAACGTCCACTAGAGGAAGGTCTCTTGTGTGGCGAGAGCCTCATATTGAATAAGGATTGAAATTTACATGACAACTTAGGAAAAATGCTTTTTCATTACTCATTCATCCCCTAAATCAGTTTGCTCCCCCACTCTTTACCTCTGCCTGAGCTATTAAATCACCATCTTGACCCTGCGACCTGGAGCCGCAACCATAAAGAGCCCCCTGTGGGTCAGAGGCCTGATTGTAACATTTGAATATGAAATAAGACTTGGTCGGGCCTGGAAACAGCCCCATGCACTGAGGCACAGGCTGACCCCCAAGAGGGAGAGGCCTTCCTCAGCAGCCTCAGGCCCGGAGACTCCCTCTCGTCTCTCCGAGAGGATTTACTTGGACTTGAGAAGAAGAGCGAGAGCGAGAGAGAGAGGGGCTGAAGTTGGGAGAGGTGGAGGGGATGAGAGGCCGACAGAGAGGAGAAAAAGAGAGGGCAGACATTTGAATAAGACAAGAAGCGAGTAGTGTTTGCATGACAAAGGAGCCCGCCATCTCCCCTGATTGGTGTCACAGTGCGGCACTAAAGCCAGGCAGGCCCCCCGGGGTGGGGTGATGTGTGGACCGCAGGCATGTTTATGCACCCAAGGTGTGATATCGAGGAGGGATGGGGGGGCGTCGCCAAGTTTCGGGCGTAAGAAGTTTGTGCGCATATCCTTGAAAAGGGGGAGAAGGTTTAAAGAACTGTGAGCTCTTGAAACTTTGACTTACTGAGAAGAAGTTATGCTATATTGTCATCGTAATGGGATATTTTGTTTAAGTATGAGGTAGATTGGAACAATCCTTACTCAACGTGTAAGGAATTAACCATTTCATCACACAATTTCATTACTCTGAATTGCAGGAGAATCTTTGTACCTGGAAATAGGTTTTGCACTTTTGCATTCATTTAAAAACTTAAATTGGGAACGTTAACTGTTCCAGTTGTTTGTCTTTACATAACACCAAAAGTTGTCAAACTTCCTGTTCAAAGGTCCAAATCAGGTTTCTGGGTAAGATTAAAGGTTTAGAAAAACATTAATGAGGAAATCTCTCATCAGTCTGTAAAGCTCACAAAGCAAAAGAAATAAGACTTTATGCATACAATTAATTCATTGTGATGATAACCTTCTCTTTTTTTGTTACACAAAAGCTTAATGAGGGATAATTTTACAGGAATCCAAGCCAGCCAATTCAAAGTCTAATACAGGGAACAATACTGCAATAAAAACTTAATGCCAAAACCGTTTCATGGATGCTTTTAGCACAATCACCACCTGGATTTCTGTTATATTTTTTTTATCCTAAGCATTACCATGTTTATGGACATGCATTTGTCGTCTTTTCTCAACCAACAGGGTATCAACTGCATGCTTTGTTAAAAAATTTGCATGGCAGAAATTCTCTAAAAGATGCTCTGACCCACAAAAAATATCCACATACGTTAAGTGTCGCAACTGAGAGAGATTTTCACTAGAGCTTTCTGCAGGGCATTTAATGTAATGATTTCTAGACAGAATAATGAGTGTTACATTTTGTTTCCTGTTACAAGCAAATTAGTTTTTAGTCCATTAAAACTATTCTCTGAGGATGTGTGTGTGGCCTTCTTCCACCATCAGAGAAGATACAGCAGGTCTTTTAACAAAACACAGATTTCCTAAAGAATTATAGATGTCAGAATCAAACATGACAAGTTAGGTGTTAAACAGTATCAACTCAATTCATGTGGTTTTTGACTCACAAGAAAAAGAACGACAATAACACTGAAACAACTGAGGCACAAATTACTTTTGTACAGAGTAAACCGAGTGTAAAAATGCCCTCTCTGCCTTCAGTGAGGTGCCTTTTTATATTTTAACATTTCAGAACTCTATGTTTTATAAATTAAGCATTCTTTAACGTAAAAAGTATCCGATCCTGCGGTTAATGCATAAAAGTTCAACAGGTATTTCAGTGGCATCAATTTAATCTTTTTATAAAGCGTGTTTTTGTTGTTTTTATATTTGTTAAAAATGCCACAACAAAGTACTTATTAATGCCTTTTAATTTCCATTAAGGAAATACTGTAATAACTAATGGAGAGTCCTTTTTACCATCATTAAAGAAAGAGAATGTTAAAATCTTTCTACTCTGTTGCCATTTCTGTGATTTTCCATTACAAATTAAGTTATTTTGATTTTAAAAATCTGAGCTAAAGTTATAAGAAATGATACAGGCAGAGAAAGATTACAATTATCCATTCATAACACTGTCTTACTTGGGCCTCCATATCTTTAACAGTTCAATTTGTCTTCTAACTTGTTCTCTACCTGTTTTGTTTTCAATCTGAATGTTAGGTGTGAAGTTCAGCACCGTCACCGTCTCCTCCTGCTGTGCAGTCAGAGTCGTAAGCTACTGCAGGTGGATCGCTGGCTCCAAGACGTCCTCTCCGTCCATCTCCACCTCCTTCTTCCTTCGTAAACCTTGGAAGGGAAAAGCACAAAAACAGAGATGACTGGGGATCACAGGAACAGGCAAATCCAGAGGATATGAGGTGGATTTCACAGCTCAATAAGTTTGGACAATTTGTTTACAATCCTCTTTATTGCAGATCCCCTGGGAGGAGGTGTGTGTGTGTGTGTGTGTGTGGGTGTGTGTGTGTGTGTGTGTGTGTGTGTGCGTGTGCAGAAACACTTTTTCTCTCTGAGATTTTGCAACATGGAACGGTAGAGACGGGATGCAAAATCAGTGTATTAATAAAAATATGAGGTCACACTATGGAGGAAGATGAAGGAGCTGTTAGTGAGAATTAGTGAGGGCTATAATAAACACACATACACACACACGCACACTGAACCCCCTGTGTACAAAGCCTCCACAGGCTCATCTGGACGCCGCCGCTGGCCCTGGGGGACACACCTCCAAGAGAGATGGCCTGACTAACTCTCCATGGCAACTAATCAATAAGTGACAGAGTCAGTCACGACTGACCCGTAGCCGAGCGTCTTCCACCTCCCCCCACGTTCCCAGGGATACGATCCCCAAAAACCACCCACACACACACACACACACGCACACAGGCAAAAGTTCAAAAAAGTGCCCCAAACTTGGCCAAAAACATCAATCTTCTCTCAGATTCAAATGAGGACTCTACTTTTTTTTCTCAAGTCACAAAGCATATTTTCATCGAGTTGGAGTCAGATGTGGGTACATGTTGCAGAATGAACAGTTAGATGTGATCAGAGGGTTTCTGATGGACTACAGTCACCTCACATGGCCATTGTTTATCTGTCAATCCGTGTTCCCTTTCACTGTCCTCAGCATACACTGATCAATATCTGTGGCCTAGATGAGAGGCCTAATCTTCCCCCTTGCCACCCCCCTAAGTCCTTGCCCCCCTCAGCTCTGCATTGTTCAATAGAGGTCCCATACACTCCTCGTAATGCCTAAAGAACAGCACATACACCAGCTCACATACACTTGGCCCAATTTTTACAGCACACCCTGGAAGGGTAGAAAAAAATCTATATCTTAGCAAATTTCAAGTAGCTCTACATGCTCCAGTGTTCATAGACAAACGTGGTGCAGAAAAAGACCATCTGCAGAGGATCGATGTTTCACACCAGAGTGAGTCAATCAGTTTCACATCAAAACCAAATGTTTCCATCCATTTGTCATCACGACTTACTCGCAACGAAGTCGCTTAATCCTGCTGCGAACTACTAGTGCGTGCGCTTTTGTGGTTTTCTGCAACCACAATTACAAGCAAAAACAAGTTCAAGAAAGGCTCGATGATCTCTAACCGAAGAAAATGTCAGAGGAACCAGAGAAAGAAAGAAAAAATAAATCAGATTCGTCCCGTTTCAAGTCGTTCGTGCGATTTGTATTTGCTCTATTTGGGACAAAAGCCACGGTAATCCTGACTCATATTTGACAAGTCTCATATTCACACACACCTGCTGCGGCAAAGTAAACACGCCTTCAGAGTCAAACACCTTAATGGATGACCTTTGCATTAAAAGCTGAGCTGGGATAAACCCGAAGGCAGGCACCGCTGACACGGTATAAAACAGAGACGTGCCCATTCTGGGCGTGATTGATGAGGAGAAACCACATCATAGCTAAGTTGTGTGTTCAGTCTGTACATGGGTCGAACAACAAAATAGCCATCAGACTCCTCCATCAAACCAAATGTTACATTAAAAAAAAGATTCTTTCATAGTTCCTTGAAAGCGTTTAGTTTATGTCATTGAGGGTTAATTTGAAGTTTCAATGAAATTGAAAATGTGGCTTCATCATTTTTCTAACCAGAGTGTAACATTTGAAAGAAATCTGAAATAACTTCCAAAAGGATTCATATCCATTGGACTTGTTGACATTTTGTTACTCTGCAGCCAAGAACTTTAACCTGCTTTAATTTGGATTTTTAAGAGCAGCACAAATTATAACTTTAACAGCTTTTCCCAAAAGAAACCTAAAAAGCGTGGAATATAAACGCATGCCACATTTTTTAGAATATGCGTTCCAATAAATCTCATTTGTAAAAGTACCCTTTGAAAACTGACAATCTCCAACCAGGAATTAAACATACTTTCCATTAAAGCTAAATTTTTGTACTGAAAATGTTTTTTAATAGTCTGATGTAATATTTAATTTTACATTTCATGTGGAAAATAATTAACATAATTAACAGAAATACAGGCTTTCAAATATCCATCTGTGTGTAATTAATAATGTGTTTTACTTAGTGATACACTCCAGAAATAAAATAACTTTTAAATAATATTTTAATTTATTGAATGGTTACATAAATATCAGTACATATTCAGTTTATTAATCCCAAAAGGAAATTAAATGTTGCTGTAATTTATGTCTCTTCAAACAGTCTGCATTGTAACGAATCTGAAGTTTTTGACTGAAGGCACTTTGCTGTTGTGTAGCTGTTTGATGGAGTAACAGTCGATACCGATATGACGCAGGAAAAAAGTGCAGAACTGACTCAAAGGATTTCTTTTTAAAAGATAAAAATAAAAATACAGACATAAATGTTCTGAATTGTAAATCTATTTGATATTTCTGCACCAGTACAGCAAATTTAAATACACCAACAGCTTCCCCAAATGTTTAAGAAACTTAAATTAGGAATATGAAATAAATACAGCATGACGTAGATCTGCCGTTATAGATCGTGCGTTGTAACCAATACCTGATGTGGAATTTTTTCAATATCGGCACCAATACAGACATTAATATCGGATCTCTACACATTAAAACATCTGGGAAAATATTTTTATTTTAGTAGTTGTTTAATACGTTAGCAAGTTATTTTACTAATAAACTGTTTTCAATGTAAGAAATAAAAACTTTTCTTCCGTTTATTAAGTTTATCAAACATTATCCTTGAGAAACAGTTTAGTATTATATTAAAGCTCATCAAATATGAGTCCTACATGTTTGTGCCTTTCTTTCTGAGCCTTCAGTAGCTGTCGTCCTTGATCTTTGCCCGCTGAAGCCTGCTGGTTTCAGAGGGAATTGTGAGGCTCAGCCTGAAACCACCACTCCACATTGCTCCAGGTCAGCCTGCAGCTCTTCAGATGGTTTTTCTTGCTTTTGTTCAATCAGTTCCAACCAAAACTTTAAGGTTTAACTCAAGAGTTTTGAATGTTTTGATGACTTTTAAACTTTTTAGCATTGCAAAGCTTGAAAAAATAAGTTTAAGAAACATTTTTGAGATTTTTGTCTCCCACATTCTTGCTATCGTAAATGTGTGGAAAAGTGAATCAATTGTTAACTAGAACACTGAGTGTAAAGAGCCTGTTGCTTTATTTCAACAAATTATAAAAGAAATTCACAGTTAATTCTATTTATCTTTCTGCATATGTTAACTTTAGTTTAGTCTTCGGCGCCTGCAAGGCATTTATGCAACTATTTCACTTTCTACTGAGACAAGAACAAGTAGCTTGCAGCTGGGTGGATGCGTTTTCTTGAACAGCGGCATGCTTGTCTTTGAAGCATTTCCCACTCAGCATTCTTTGTGGTTGTGTCAGTGACTCTGATCCATCCACAGTTATCATTAATGAGACATTAACATCACGCAACAAGCCTCATCGGTGCCTACATGGGTTCAGGCAAGGACCTGAAGCTCAGATGTACTTAGAGCTACAAAGATGGTCAGATGTGATTTTTCTAGTGTCTCTGCTGAGTGCTGGCAGTGAATGAAGAGCGATGGAGAGGACGGTGCAGTGAAGAGGGATGGCTCTCAGTGGGTCAGCCCAAAAGCCCTGACCCCAGGAGGATTTGATGCCATTTTCCCACGCAGGGAGTCGACCTGAGAGGAGCTCGTTAACAACATCTGCCCCATTTCAGGGAGATTAACCCCCGTCCCCAACCCCCCGCACCTCAACAGCCTCGTCCACTCACACACCACTCTGCTGTCAATCCAAGAACCTCAAACAGGTTAGGGACAGGCCCTCCCATATTCAAGGATACCAGCCAAAAAACAACCCCACTGCAATCTGAAGCTATCACAGGAATCCTGACCCGCAGTGAGGCGTTCATCCGTTACACCCAAACCACGCCAATTTCTGATCTGCACATCAGGGGAGTTGCTAGATCGCAGACTGCGATTAAGTCGAAGGTTTGAGGGCGGAAGGCGTGCTCCGGCTACAGAGTTGCCCAGCCGGTCGGTGCAGGTGAATTAGTGATGTCACAAACGTCCTCCTGTCAGCCAGATTTGTGTAATGAGTTTTTCCACTCATCACACTGACGTAAACGGGGACACTTGGCGCACACTTCTTGTGCTTTTACCACCGTTCCCCTCCACCCCCTTCCTGTGTACTCGCAAAGATGTGCAACTGGCGGGACATGTTCTGACATAATTTGAGGAGAGAGTGTGAAAAACAGGGCTTACTGATCAACGTGGCCCATGGCGAGAGCCCTCCGTGTGACAGGTATACGCATAGTGGTGAAATCCGCTGGGAATCTCCTGAATCGGTGTACTACAGGGCTATAATTAGGTTAGTTTTTGGAGAGGGGGTTAAACAAACAGGGGCTGTGAGGTCATAGCCAGATGGAAGTGGGATATGCCTGCACTTGCTGAGTGGGCACAGAGCTCCACAGGACAGGGGAGAGAGGCCCTCTGGGCACTCAGCATGTGGGGGAGCGGGAGGTGGGGTGCTTTTAAGCCAAATTCAGATTAACTAACTGCCAGAATATTCAAACACAATCCATATACATTCACACTTTACCCCTAAACATCATCTTTAACTCCTAATCTAGTGTCAGAGGGAAACAAACAGGATTTCTCTGCACATTTCAAACGAAACTTCAACTTTTTATCCTAAATTTGTCCCCAATATCCCAGTGTAGGGTGGATACTTTCCTGGAGTTTGATAACTGACCACTAACCTTTGCTCTGTCCACACACTTCTGAGGAGCAGCGGCAGAAAAGCTGCTTAATTTCAACAACAAAAAAAGGGAGTTT